GATTTAAACAAGCGCAGGGTGGGTAATTGATGACAGAATATTCAGTATTGGCGAATGAATGAACGAATGAATGAACAATAGCAAAGTGTGGTCAAAAAACACAATTCCTAGATCCCTGCGCTAAAGGTTCAATTTCTAAATAATTTAATATAAGTGTTAATCTGCAGTTTTCTTCTGATAATTTACGGTAGTGATGGGAAGTTCGGATCATTTTACTGACTCGGAACTTTGAGTCTTGTTCATCGAGATGAACGAATCTTTTTTCGAGTCATTTCGTTCATTTGGTTCAATTTGCCAAAATATTATTCAAATGTTACGAATTGCTTCCAAACACATCTACAACTAGCCCAAAAGCTTGATCACACGACAAATATGTCATAACTAGAATACTATAAGAAGGAGAAAATAATACTTCAATGTTTACCTGCTCTTTTGTCTATGAAGGTATTGTTGTCTGGTTGCTCAGCTCACCTCTTCATGTCTTTAAATGTCAGGGGTTCATTCACGTTACACTGCCAGTCGCATGTACTCTTAATCCCTGCCCACCAGCCTAGGCTGGTTTAAGCTGGATTTTTCAGCAGGGATATGCTGCATAAGTTGATGGTTCATTCCGCTGTGGCGATCCCAGATTAATAAAGGGACTAAGCTAAAAAAAGTATGAATAATTAAACAGTAACTTTGTTAAACAGGCTTTTAATAGCAGCATGACTTAAATCTGTATAGTGACAATATGATTGTTTTCTTGTAGGGTTTGGCCGATTGTAGCACCGATCATAACTACGCAGGAGTTCTATTTACTGACTACCATTTCCAGTTCTTCCGTCGCTGTGACTGATCAACACCAGATGACGCTGCGGTCAGAACAGCCCTCCAGAAGCTACATCCGGTATCTGACCATGTCGGAGGAAGAAAGTTATTAATATTTGTTGCTGAAAAAAGCGATTCGAAATACGTTTTTTTCTTACTTTTAAAACGTTTCTTATTCTCATTTTTAGTTTCGGAATTTATCTGATCGCACTCAGATCATCGTTTGCTGTGACCGACTGCTCTGTGTATTCCTTTAGTGAACTGAGCGCATTTCATATGTACTGCTGTGTGCAATGATGTTGACCGAAAACTTTGTGTAAATAATAAAATCTAGTGAAAAATCGAGCTGTATGGCGTTTGATTACTTCAGAGGACTGTTAAAATATTGTTATCCTGTTAAGGTTTTCTCTGTATGTCAAAAGCTACAATAAAGGTGACAGAATCTGTCATCAAAGTTATAAATAAATATATTTTTTACTCATGGAAATCACAAAGAATTTATTTGCAAGGCAACCTGTAGATAGAAGTACTTTTTACAAGTAATGATTCTGCAGCTGTTGATGATTTTGCATCTCTTAGACTACATAATCTACTGTAGAGGCTTTTGAATGTAGTTGTTTAGATTACAACTATGCAGTTTATTCATAAGGATAGCGCCTATTTGAAATATTTCTAATTTCTGAGATACAGCCATCAGCCTGTCATTGCCCTGATGAAAAATCCAGCTTAAACCAGCCTAGGCTGGTTGGCTGGTTTTAGCTGGCCGTCTAAAACATCTAAAAAAAATGGAGCCATTGCTATGACTGGAATTGAGTTCATGAAGTCAATAAGTGATTTCGTTTAACTCTTTCCCTGCAGTTTACGGGACAATACCAAATTGCTTCCCTGAGTTAAGTTTACAGCAATCGGTGTTTTAGGTGTTACGG